GGGCAATAAAAATCAAAACCGATTGCCCAACTAGGTGGAATTCCACCTATGACATGTTAACTAAGACAATTGAGTACAAGGGCCCGTTAACAATATTTTACAACCAAAAATTTCCACAAAATGCTTTATATGATGATGATTGGTATAACTGTGAAAGATATATGCAATTTTTACAGTTATTATATAACATGACGTATTGTTTTTCTTCTGTTTACAGTCCTTGTGCTCAAAACTTTCTTTCTAATGCATGTTTACTCGCCCAACTTTTCGCTGATCATCGCAACCAAAGTGATTATGATCAGTATCTTCCAGCAATGGAAACAAAGTGGCGTAAATATTATAGTGAAATTCCTTTGATTTATATTTTTGCTTCCATATTAGATCCTAGGCAAAAGTATGAAAACACATTTATGTTAGTTGACATTTATTTTCAATGCCTGAATCTTGACGATGATGTAGAAACGTATAAGAGTATTGTGAAGGATCAGTTTTTTGCTTTATATGGAGTCTATGAAAGCAAATATGGCACCGCTCCTCGCTCAGGGCCTTCCCAACCATCCAAAAACGTAAGTAAGAAGGCCAAACATTTATTTTCACAGGCTACTAACTTAATTTCAAGGTTTTCAGGTGATTCATCAATCAGGAGAACGCAAAGCGACGTCTCGGAGTTGCAGATGTACCTGAGTTATGACTTCACCAAAGGCATGGACGACGATGAGATTAACAGCCTCGACCTCCTTGCATGGTGGAAACAACAAAGCACGAAGCATCCAACTTTGGCGGCAATGGCACGAGACATTCTTGGTATCCAAGTCTCCTCTGTTGCCTCCGAATGAGCTTTCAGCGCATCCGGAAGGGTTCTGGACGATAAAATAACAAGTCTAAAACCCGAAATACTAGAAATGTGCGTGTGTTTCAAAGATTGGTTGGATGCGGAAAATCGCTCACAAGACCGTTCTTACGAGGACAACGACAACGATGAAGGAACCTCCGCTTCCGACCGTTCGGGTTCAGCTAGTTCCCAATCTATCCAACTAGCCGATGAAGCCGAAGCCGAAGCCGACGACGAAGACGAGCAAGAAGAAGAATAAACAATTTTTGTATATTGTACGATTTTAATCATTATCAATATTATCATTTTCCAATTTTTGTTTAATACCATCATTGTACGATTTTTATCATTGTACAATTTTCTCAACTCAAGTAATAATAATATGAAGTACGCATTATTCACATCCAAGCCCAATTTGCCTTTTTTCCCCGTTTTGTTATAATTTGTAAATTCATATTAAAAAAAATAAAATTATACCAATTACTAATACAAAATTATATTTAATAAATCATAAACATTAAATTTTAAAGTAATAGTATAGAGTAAATATATAAATATAAATATTGAATATATAAAATTATAAAACATAAATATTCAACTTATAATTATAAAACTTATAACCTTATAACTTATAAAAATTATAATTATAATTATAATTTTATAACTTATATACATTATAATATAAGTTATAATGTTGTCACTTTTTTTAAAAAAAAAATTAAAAAAAAAAAAAAGGTTGGAAACTGCCAGCCCGCTGCCGGCCCGCCAGGCTGGCACGTGGCCGGCACGGCACGAGCCCGCCAGGCATGAGGGCCGTGCCAGGCCGTGGGTTGGCCTGTGAGAATGGCCAGCACGGCACGACACGACTTCCTGGGCACGGCGGCACGATCGGCACGGCACGCCGGAGCACGTGCCCCGCGGCGGCCCGGCCCGGCACGATGCCCAGGTTTAGAATTTTCGAAAGAAAAATATTTCAGCAGGAAATTATTTAATCAGGAGAACTAATTTATAGTTGTGGTTTTCCTAGAAACTATATGCTCATGAAAACTAATGTTTTATTGAAAACAATCAACCGGGGCCTAAATAAACGGCCCATAGTCATACTCTTTGCTAGTCCAGAGCACAAATGTTAACTGACTTAAGCCAGTATAAGCACTAGTATTATTAAAGAACATAGTCAATAACAGACAATCTAGCAAACTTGGTTTCTAATGATTGCAACATTCGAAGCATACTTCAAATCTTCCACTAGTCAGCATCATCCATTCTAATGCTCTTCAGAACGTTGATTATCCATTAAGTTCTCCCTAACGTTTTCCACTCTTGTGTCCATGGTCAAGTTGCCAACAGCGTTGGAGTTGGATGATACATGATTTGGCAACATATGCCGGTCGCATCCAGTTATACCCTTCCCCACAATATCCGCGTGAGCAGTTGAATTAGAAGGATTCACCAAATTCTGATGTGTTGTGGAATCACTTCCAAATGGTGCTTTACTATCGTGTTTCCTCTTCTTTGCATCATCATCAAGATGTTGCTTCCTTTTTTTGCTTGATGGCCACACCAGCTTCAATTCTGTCAATCTTCGCTTCATTGTACACCTCGAGACTGCAAATTGTGGTCATTTAAGAAAGACCAAGAATCAAAACATAAACTATTTTTATTTAACTACAATTTGCTGAACAAATTCATGGAATTAAAAGCACATAACATAAATTTGTTCTAGGACCAAAATTTTTAATCATAAAGTAACATACCTCCAACTTGTTCTGCAGCTTCTTGGAATGTCATATTTTTGGACCAAAATGATTGAAGCGTCTCTAGTGAAATTTCTTTTCTTTTGTAACCCTTGATGTCATTTTGAAGGGTTTGGTTCTGCTCATGCTCATAATTTCCTTGTTCACTTTCCATAGTTGCAGAGTCACTTTGTATAGCAGGGATACTCTAACTTTCAGGATTTGAATGAAATATTGAATACGTACTGTACTAGTATATGAGAATTGAGAAGCAGCTACCAATTTATAAAAACTTTGAGCCTGAACCTACATTATTCTCCTATTTCTTCCCACCGCCCCCCCCCCCAAAAAAAAAAAAAAAAAAAAAAAAGTGAGGTGGATAGGGATTGATGAACAACCCATAGAGATTATCAGATTAATAATGCAGCACAGCTATTCTGGACCCCACAATCAACCCTAGTTCACTAAGTTGTACGAAGTATATTGAACCTGAACCTTATTTTCTTAAAAAAAAAAATAATGAAATAAAAACTAGTTGTATATTGAACCTGAACCTTGAAAAATAAAAAAAAAATAAAAAAAACTTGGACCTCACTAAATAATTACCCATTCACCCGACATTGACCCGGCAATCCTAACCCGATCCATGACCCGAAATTAACCCAAAAATGTTAACCCGAAATTGATCTTATACCCAAATTAACTCGATACCCAAAGCGACCCGAAACCCAAAGTGACGCAACCCGATCTTAACCCTACAGACTCAAAACACAAAACAACCAGAAATGACCTGACCCATAATTAACATCTTTGTGTGAGAATAACAAGACTCATTTTCCTCTACACTCTGATTCTCTAAGCTTGTACTTCGTAATATTTATTTTATCTCTCTATATTCATAAGATTTATACTTTTATGATATCTCCCATTTCATCACTCTCTAAATACATACGGTGGAAAATATTTTCCTTTAGAAAATAATGGAAATCTTATTTTCTTCCCTCCTTTTACTTCTCTCTTATTAATCCTCACATTACTATTCCTACTTTTAAGAAGGGAAAAAGTAACACGGAGTAACAACATTTAATTACATGAGTCAAAATATGTCAACTATAAGCAATAGTTTTACAGTATTAAACAACATAGTCAATAACAGACAATCTAACAAACTTGGTTCCCAATGATTCAGCAACATTCGAAGCATACTTCAAATCTTCCACACTAGTCAGCATCATCCACGCTTTATCTTCATCTTGATAAAACAATCTATATTTGTTCAAAGCAAGTTGGAACTTCATGCCTGTTTCTTCAATTAGTTGATTAATCGGTAAAGTCAAAGAGAATACAATTCTCACTGAATGCTCCTTGTAAGTGGCTTTTACAACAATAGTGCCTGAACTTTCAGTTGTATGAAGAGCGCCTTCTAGATGCCCTTGGACTTGTTGCTGGATATCCATATGGCTTCCAATTACCATTGGGTCGAAAGTTTCTTCTAGTGTTGCAGCGCGATTACTTTCAGTTGAATGAAGAGCACCCTCCAAATGCCCTTGAGCTTGTTGATGGGTATCCATATGGCTTTCAATTACCATTGGATCGAAAGTTTCTTCTAGTGTCGCAGCGCGATTACATTCAGTTGAATGAAGAGCGCCCTCCAAATGCCCTTGGTCATTTGCACCATCCAGATAATGCTCTTCGCCATGCTGACAATCCATATTGCCTTGAGTATCCATTAAGTTCCCTCTAACGTTTTCCACTATTGTGTCCGGGGCCAAGTTGCCAACAACATCAGAGTTGGATGATACATGATTTGGCAACGTAAGCTGGTTTGCTCCTATTATACGGCCCCCAACAATTTTCGCTTGAGCTGTTGAATTAGTAGGAATCACCAAATTCTGCTGTGTGGAATCACTACCAAATGGTGCTTTACTATTATGTTTCCTCTTCTTTGCATCATCAAGATGTTGCTTTCCTTTTTTGCTTGATGGCCACAACAGCTTCAATTCTTTCAATCTTCGCTTCATTGTAGACCTCGAGACTGCATATTGTGGTCAAGTATGATAAAGAAGCTCAAGCAGTTAATTTTTTTATGGTAATCATCGGGATGACAGGATGTCTATCTCAGTCTTAATGATAAATTAATTTTCAAAAACCATCCTTATAAAGTCATAACCACAAATTTAGTTATGGACCATTAACATTAATTAGGGAATATAGGTAAACAAATATTTTCACGAGTATAAATGTGACCACACTATTTATAAAAGTTCAAAGAGACAATTAACATCAATGAAGACAATTAAGTAAGCAAACATATATAATTAGAGGTTCGCACATTGTTAATAAGAGTTTGCTTGAAATTTTTAAAAGGCAGGGATCAAAATTTCACATAATGAACATCTAAAAATTTATCACAAAGTTCTTGTTCCATCACAAAAAATAAAAATATTCATGTACTGGTATTATTCAGTAGAGCAGTAAAGTTATTGAGTTACATCACGACAATTTTTTGTTCATAACAGACAAACATCTCTACAATACTTAGGTCAACTTTGGAGTGTTACACTTAAATCACTCAAATAAATGGAAGCACATTATTAAACAACATAGTCAATAACAGACAATCTAACAAACTTGGTTCCCAATGATTCAGCAACATTCGAAGCATACTTCAAATCTTCCACACTAGTCAGCATCATCCACTCTTTATCTTCATCTTGATAAAGCAATCTATATTTGTTCAACTCAAGTTGGAACTTCATGCCTATTTCTTCAATTAGTTGATTAATCGGTAAAGTCAAAGAGAAAACAATTCTCACTGAAAGCTCCTTGTAAGTGGCTTTTACAACAATTGTGCCTGAACTTTCAGTTGTATGAAGAGCGCCTTCCAGATGCCCTTGGACTTGTTGCTGGATATCCATATGGCTTTCAATTAAGGGCTCTTCCAAATGCAGGTCTGATCCCATTATACACTGCACATTTTCCGTGTGAGCTGCTGAACTACCTAGGTTCACCACATTCTGTTGTGAGCAATAACTTTCAAATGGTGCTGTATTGTTTGTTTTCCTCTTCTTTGCATCAGGCTGTTGTTTTCTTCCTTTTCTTGGCCACTTCTCGACACCCAATTCTTTTATTGTTCGTTTCAATGTAGACCTCGATACTGCAAATTGAAGTCAAGTATGATTAATCATTTAGAAAAGCCAAGTATGATACTGCAAATTGAAGTCAAGTATGATAAAGAAGCTCAAGCAGTTAATTTTTTTATGGAAATCATCGGGATGACAGGATGTCTATCTCAGTCTTAATGATAAATTAATTTTCAAAAACCATCCTTATAAAGTCATAACCACAAATTTAGTTATGGACCATTAACATTAATTAGGGAATATAGGTAAACAAATATTTTCACGAGTATAAATGTGACCACACTATTTATAAAAGTTCAAAGAGACAATTAACATCAATGAAGACAATTAAGTAAGCAAACATATATAATTAGAGGTTCGCACATTGTAAATAAGAGTTTGCTTGAAATTATTAAAAGGCAGGGATCAAAATTTCACATGAACATCTAAATTTGCTTAGTTTCCATTTTTATCAACCAAAAAAAAAAAAATTGTGTAGTGTCCATGATGTAAATTTATGTTACTCCGCACATGGCACAACATTACTCAATGTTTTAATAGTTTTGCTCTAGGAAAAAGTTCTCAATTGAAGTTTTGCATTGAATACAGCATTATTATTCCTTTTGAAATATCAGTGGCATCAATAGAAATTAAAACTTCAATGAATAAACAGATTTTGGCAAGAGTATGTAAATGCAGGTCTCAGATAATTAACAATTCTAATACAAACAAAATGCGATCATGATACCTCCAAATATTTTTTCTGCAGTTTCTTGTAGTGACATCGGGTTTTCGGACCAACATTGTTGTAGCTTCTCTTCAGATATTTCAATTCTACTATTTCTCTCCACCTTATTGTGTTGAGGGACCTGTTTCTGCCCATTTTCTAAATCATGATGACTGTTCTCACCATTATCTTGCTCAATACCACCTTGTGCTGTTGTTATGTGCTCAATAGAGCCCATACTTATACTGTTGAAAGGATCTGCTGATGTCTGCTCATCAGGGACAGTTTCATGAATTTCTACTGTTGGCATTTTGATACGAGAGTTATTCATATGTGTGAAGTATGCATCATCCGTGTCATCAATGATGATAAAAAAAATGCAAGTTATGACATATGAATTACTGGCAACATTTAATTACCTCTAGGAACAACAGTTACTTCATCTTCGCTTTCATCGGAGGCTGAGGCTTGGTAAAGGGAAGCATCATAGGCGTTGCTCTTGTAGTATGCTTCTTCTGTGTCATCGATGATGGACACTTGCTTCAGATTCCTTGGCAATCTTTCAAAGTTAAAACACTTGGGGAGGATTAAGTGTAGTAGATTGCGCAGCTTCACAAAACTAGGAGGAAGGGTCTTGATTCTGGTGACGCTGATATCAAGAGTATGCAAATTGACTAACTCATGTAGATTTGATGGTAGTTTTTCGAGGCTGATACAGTCTTTGAGTTGTAATTCTTGCAAGTTGTGGAGTCTTGCTATATCTTCAGGAAAGAACTCCATTTTAGAACATGTAATGGAGAGTGTCTCCAGGTTGACTAATTTATTCCAACATTTTTCAAAGATACATCTCAGGTCATTATAATCTTTGAAAAACAAAATTTCCAGGTGATGTAGGCCAATAGGAAGTGAGTCAAGTGACTCGAAGGAGCAATCCACAAGCCTGAGTTTGTGAATATACATACATGGTGGCAATGACTCGCAATAATCACAGGAATTGAGATCCAGACTCCTTAAGTTAGTTAACTTTTCCAAGCTATCATAAAGTGGCCTCATATTGCAAGATGATAAAGAGAGATGTTTGAGGCTGACAGGCATATTAAAATTTTCCAAGCTATCATAAATGGATAATCGCAGATGTAGTGTTTGTAAATTGGATAGCTTGCTTAAGCTGTGAATAACGGACTCATCAATTTCAACATCAGAAGAGTCGAGAGAGAGATGTGTAAGCCTTGTGAATGTGACAAAGTAGTTATCCGGGAGGCAAATATGATCAGTGAAGTAGAGATAGAGGTGGGTGAGCTCACTGAATTGCATTATGGAATCTGTTAACTCCTTAACATTTTCCAAGTCCAAAAATCGAACCAACATGAGTAAATTTCTGTTATTAATAATCCATTGCGAAGGATCATCCTCCTTCAATCGGAGATAACCAGGAGGAGATATGATAGAGGGATTTTGAGCTGCATCATTTCTTATTTCTGCCATTGTAGGAGGGGGAGAGAAGAGATAAGCTTGATTATTACATAGTATAACTACCACGTCAACTAGAACAAACAAATTTGGAGTAAAACTGTAAAAGTAAAAGCATTGGCAATGTAAACTTACCTCCACCAAAAGGAATGGGCAATTCTCCTATCTCTGTTTTAAGTTCCTCCCAGGATTTGCGAACATGCCTATCTTTAACAGAAATGATGACCGAATGATTCAAGTCATATGGCAACGTTTCGAGTCTGAAATGTTCGGGCAACATTAGATGTCGGAGTTTGCGTAGCTTCGTGATGCTCCAAGGAAGACACTTGATTTTGGATGATTGAATATCAAGAAGACATAAATGGGCCAACCCATCCAAATTTGCCGGCAATTCAACCAGGGACTCACAGGAAAAGAGAGATAAAGATGTCAAATTGGATAGATTTGCAATGCTCAAAGGAAGTGACTTTATGTTCTTGCAATATTTAAGTTTGAGATGGGTAAGGCTCACCAACTGCCCTATATTTGCCGGCAATTCAACAAGGGAATCACAGGAAGAGAGAGTTAAATAAGTCAAATTGGATAGATTTACAATGCTATCAGGAAGGAACTTTATGTTCTCGCAATAATCAAGCTTGAGATGAGTAAGGCTCACCAACTGCCCTATATTTGCCGGCAATTCTTCCAAACAATAACACTTATAAAATTGCAAGTGCTCCAATTTGTGAAGCCTAGTGATGGTGTTAGACACACATTTCAGGGAATCACAGTACAAGAATTCCAGGCGGATGAGCTGTGTGAGCTCACCTATTGATTCTCCTACCTCTTCCTTTTCATAACAACGCAAGGCTAGACGAGAAGGAGGGTTATTTTTTAATCCATGCCTCTGGATCCTCCCTCAATTCCAAGTGACCTTTAGAATCTACTTCTCCGCAAGTTATCATTTCCTTAGCTTCAACAAGAACACCAAAAACCACCTCTTTTAATTTTAATTTCAAACTACAGAAATATAAACTGGGAAATAAAGGAACAAAGAGAGAAGATAAATACTACTCAGTAGTTGCAGCTTTAAGATTCCATCAAGAAATTATCACAACTATCAACTTCAACGTGAACCTCAACCGCAAATAATTAGTTGTGGTTAATAAGAAGAACTAATGACCACATAGATTTATAAATGCATCACAGCTTTTCTGGACCCCACTTAAGTAATTATGCCTTGAACCTGAGCCTCAATGAATTATTATGCATTGAACCTGAACCTCAAGTTATACTTCACTAAGTTAACAGTAACGGCCCATAGTCATACTATGTTGGTATGTTCCTTAAAAAAAAAAAAAAAAACAACTCTGTTGGTTTGTATATCTACTAGTTAAAAATAAAAAAAAGTATTCTAAATCTATTAGTCCAGATATTTATTTATTTATTTAAGAAAAATAAAGTAACAACAAGCATTTAATTTTATACGGAGTAGCTTATACTATATGAGTCAAAATATGTCAACTCTATCCAATTACACTCTGTTTCTCTACCTTTTTTTTTTTTTTTTTTTTTTTTTTTGTTTTTTCAAATTACAAGTGTCTTTTACCCACTTATAAAGCACATATCTAGGGATGTCAGTGGGGCGGGTCAAATAAGAGACCGCGTTGGGGCGGGTCAAATAAGAGAGCTGCGTTGGGGCGGGGATGAATCTTGGTTTGGCGGGTGATGGGGCGGGGATGGAGATAAAACCATACCGCCATGGGTGATGAGGCGGGGTGGATTTTAGGTTTAATCCGCCCACCCGTCCACTTCGTACCCGCTCCATCCCACCCACCCCACTTCGTACCCGCTCCATCTCCACCCACCCCACTTCGTACCCGCCCCATCCCCACATCCATATATTTTTAAAAACAAAATTATATACTTTTATAACTATTTTATAAAAAAAAATTATGTAAAATAAATAGTAAATATAATACTTTGTAATACACTTATATTATAAACAATAGAATGTGTAATATTAATAATAATTTTTTTCTTTTTGCAATCTTTATTAATTATGAAGGATTGTGTATTTGGGAGGCGGGGATTAGGCAGGTCTTAGGTGGGGATTAGGTGGGGGTGATTATTCAAGTGGGGGCGGGGATGGGGATGAATTTTAGACCCGTCGCGGGGATGGGGATGGGGATGGGGATGGATATGAAAATTTTAGATTGAGATGAGGATGGGAAGACTAAAATCCGCCCCACCCCGCCCTATTGACACCCTTGGCGGACCCAGGAACTTCCGGACCCAGGAACTTCCGACTGGTGAGTCACAATCGATAACCAAATATGTAAAAAAAAAAATTTCTTACCAAGATCATCCAAATAGAAAATTGACAAGATTACAATACTAACTAATAATTAACAAGCTTAAAATTGACAAGACTAAAATTGACAAGCTAATAAACACCTAAAAATAAACACTGACCACAATTCACATAATCACATGGTCAAAAAGGTTCAAATTTCATCAAAAAGACAAAAACCCAACAACATTAACAAAAGGTTCAAAGTTTACAAACAAACAACAACAAAATCAACTAAAGTTTCAAACTTTTACCAAAAAACTAACAAAATCAACGAAATAGAGAGAAGAATCCAATCACTGTGTCTCGACAACCTCCAATTTCCCTTAAACTTATATCAAATA